GGGGACATAGCCCCCAGTCGAACTCCTGCCTCCACCCTGGGGGTGCTGCCTTCTCTGCAGGTACACCCTAACCCTAGAGTACCCTGTTCGGCAGTGCAAACAGGAAGTCCATGGGAGATGTAGGAGGCAGGCCCAGGCAGGGGCATTTGTTAGATGATCTGGGCACACACATAACCCGACCAGGGGCAGACACTCATGGGCAGGTGGTGGCTGGATGCAGAAACCCTGCTGGTTTGGGTCTGGGGGTGGATGGGAGGACCCAGGGCTTTATCTATGTCCTCCTCCTCTGCAGGTTTCCAGGCTACTGTGAACAGGCCTACAGCATTCTGTGGTGCCATGGGCTCCTCTTCCTTCATCTCTTTGCTCTGATGTGGGCAGCAGGCCTGCCTGAGCTCAGCTCCTCCAAAGACATCCAGTATTTGAAGGTATGCCAGCACAGGGCCACACCAGACTGGAGGCCAGGGTCCACCACATACTTCCCAAGGCCTGTCTAAATATCTACAGCTGCAGAGGAGCCTGCCTTCCCTATGTATAGTGTAAAAATTGAGCTTGGCAGAGCTCATCCTGGTCAGAGTGTATCTTATCTGAACAGCTCAGAGACCTAGGAGATTCACCTGACAGATGGGGGCCCTCATGCAGTCCCAGGCCCAGCAGTGCAGTATGATGAGAAGTGGCCAGAGTGGTGTGCTCCCTGTGCCTAGTCCCGCCCAGTTGCAGGTGAACTGTGATCTTGTTTGGTCATCCCATATGTCCTCAGTGTCTTTCATGCTGAGATAAAGTCCCTTGTAGGTTTGCAAGACACTTTTCATTTCTGTCTTTTCAGTTGGCTAGAGGCAGAGTTGGAGGGGGTGTATTCCCTAAAGCTTCTCCTGCCCTTCTCTCAGATAAGGTGAGGCCACCTGACCATCCTCTTGCAGTTCATTTAGGAAAAAATTTCAACAACCCAAGGGGGCAGGAGTACAGGAAGGCAGAAGAGATTGCAGAGGCAGCAGGGTCATGACCCCTGAATGTTGATGCAGTTGTGATGATTCTGTCCCAGGACACTCTGGTGCTGGGGAAAACGGAGGAGGAGAGGCTGAAGAGGAGGAGGGGCTGAAGCACTTTCGGATGAAGTTCAATGAAGCCCTGAGGGAGAGATATGAAAAATTGTGTTCTATTTGTGTAATAAAAATTGTAATATATTCCACTGCCATATATATATATATATATATATATATATATATATATATATATAGAGAGAGAGAGAGAGAGAGAGAGAACACCAAACAGCCAGGGCTGGGGTTGTAAGCTCAGAATTAGAGTGCTCCCTCGCACATGTGAGGCACTGGTTTTAATCTTCAGCACCACATAAAAATAAATTTAAAATAAAGGTATTTTTCCATCTACAAGTAAAAAATAACAAAAAGAACAAAACAGCATAAATGCAAATGCATCCTCGTGCAGAGGAGGGGTGCTGCACTGAGTCCAAGCACTGTGAGTTGGGCACCTTGAGTTTGTACCTTGCTCTTGTCTTAGGATGGGCATTCCAGGTCTTCCAGCTGGTGGATCTTGCCCAGCAAAGACTGACCTCCTCTTGGGAAAGCCTTGTTCCCAGGCTCCCCACCTAGCAGTTACTTGGCTTCCTATCCACTTAGGACACCTCAATCCCCAGATCACCTTCTGCCACCTGTGTGGCCCACCCTGTGTGTTTTCAATTGAACAAGTCCTAGACAGCTCCCAAAGAAGCCAGGGTACCCTCTAGACACAGGGATGCTTGCTCTTCACTGCTAAAGTGACTCTCGGGTAGAGGATGCCCTCACCTCTTTCACCTTCAGGTAAGAAATTAATACCACTCTATTTACTGAACCTAGACAGCTGCAGAGGAGCCTGCCTCCCCTATGTATAGTATAAAAATGAGTTTGGCAGAGCTCCTCCTGTTCAGGGTGAAAGGTCAGAGAGGGTCTGTGTGGTGAGGGAGAGGGAACAGAAGCAGGGTCATTGCACTTTGTATCCTAGTCCTGAGTACACTAGCACAGAGAATTACAATGTATTTACAAAGCATTAAAAAGTCAGTTGATCATCTACATATTTATTAACCCCATTCTACCACTTGTGAAAGCACTAGTTTGGAAAAAAATAAAGACCTTCAGAAAGAAAAAGAAAAAAAATAATTACCAATTTTTACTCTTTGTCAGCTAGTCTAGTCACTGCAACTTTTCTGGAGGTGCAAGAGGTGGGCAACTCACTGGATGGCAGAAGCCTGGAGCCCTTGAGCTGGCAGGACATGGCAGGGAGGAAGAGTCAGCTTCTGACTTTTGGGAAAAAGAGATCCAGCAGGTGTGGGCAGATGGTGGGAGCCTACAGTCCCACACACTGGGAATGGAAGGATAATCAGCATTGGGGATTTTCAGACCAGCTGGCTGAAGAGATTTTGTACATGGAGAACTCACTGGTTGGGAGCTGGGTAGCAGACATTCTGAGGTGGGGATGCAAGAGTCCAGGTTGCACTCAGTAGCTGAGTGTGGAGCTTTCCCACTTCAGCTGCTGATGCTGATTGAAGTTGTGGCTGTCCCCAGGGCCACCCTCCTTCTCCTCAAAACTCTCCCACTTGTTGATAGTGATGTCTTTCTCCTCCTCCTCTCCAGCCTCACACTTCTCTTCCTCTTCCTCCTCCTCCTCCTCACCACTATGCTAGTCCTGGTAGGTCTGCAAAAAGAGGAAGGTGCAAGTCCAGCTCATGGCCAAGTCACCCAGTGTCCACCTTCCAGGAGCAGCAGGAGAAGGGAGCCCCCAGTGAAGCAGCCCCCAGTGAGGGAGACTGTCCAGGGAAAGGGGCCTAGGCCTCGCTGGAAGTGGCCTCTCCATGGAGTCCAGGCATGCGGAGAGCTCCTGGATGGGGATGCTCAGTTCCCTCCTTGGAGCACTTTCTCTGCATAGAGTGGGAGGAGTACTATCCTGAAGCCAGATCATCTCTACACTTACACTTACTAGGTTGTATGAACTTCAGTAAGGCCTTACTGAGCCTCAGATTATCCTCCCAGATTTGAAGATCCTAGCTCCCGAGTTGTGTGGTTAT